CCCACCTCAATCTTGCCTAAACCCCATTACTTGAATTAGAGTGCCTTTCTTCCCATACAAGTGCAATGAAAAGCAAAGGTTCCATGCAGGAGCCCAGGGAAGCTCAGGGTGGTGATCGGGGGTCACGCTAGGGAGGATGGGGAAGGAGGAGAGAACGAACAGCTGTCAGTCTTTTTCCCTTCTTTCTTCTCGCTCCAAAGTCAGCACCTAAACCCTGGAGCTAGGTCCTCTCCCTGTACCTCTCAGTGCCTGATGAGCATCAAGGCCCAGGGACCACTTTCTGCCCCTACACAAGCTGCCTAAGCTCCACCAATCAGTCCTTGGGGCCTTTAATCACTCCTGTGCCCAGAACCTTTTCCTCTTCTGGGACAGGGTAGTTTGGTGATTTGGGCACCTGAGTTCAACAGGGCCATAAATTTGGGTCCTCCCTCCCGGATTCACACACGTGTATATGGACTTTGGTCCCCCTTGGGGGCGGGGTGAGCTCAGCTCCATCTCCAAGGATTTCTCCAAAATCAGCTGAGGTTTTGGTAGAGAGGAAAAGCATCAGGGGTGAGGAGAGTGAGGAGAGTCACTATATGCTTCTAAATTTGTTTTCAGTAGCTGCCGGTGGTTTGGGTGGACCAAATAAACTTTTAACGTGTTAGTTGTTCCCAAAGCTAGTTGCAGTGAGCATCCTGGACAGAGTCCGGGGGTTGAGTGGACGCAGTGAAGGAACCGGAGAGCCCTGGGGGCTGGCAAACACGTGACGAAGTCGGCCCCTGCTGGGTAAGGAGTGAGGGAGGTGAAGGCAAAAGAGACACAGCTCTGAAACGGGCTGCAGCCTGGAGGGAAACTGATCGGCTGGATGCTTCTTTCCCCTCATTCCTTTGGCCCACCACCCCAACTGTCCCATCCGGGGCTTTTCAGATCAGCACGTCTTCCTTTCCTTCTTCTCCTCCACCACCTCCTGCTCCTCCTTCTTTTTCGCCCCACACAGCCTTCCTTCTGGTGTACATGAAACCTCTCTCTCCTTTCCCTTATATGGACCTCAGTCATTGGTTTTCCAGTCCACCCTAAATCCAGGATGGTCTCACCTAGAGATCCTAAAGTTACCAGCAGTTAGGAGTTGGACATATCTTTTTGGGAAACACAGTTCAAGCCACTCCAGCTTCTTTTTCTGTTATGTCACTTAAATATCAATATATTTCTTCCCACAGAGTCCTGGTTCATATTTCCCTATGTTTCTGGTCTCCTCTCTCGATTTCAGAAGTTCAGAGCTCATAAGTACTATGAGGATAATTCAGTGGCATTATTCTGCTGACAGAATCCAGACTGATACTAAAGGTACGTACAGGGGCACCTGGGTAGCTCAGTTGGTTAGGCATCCAACTTTGGCTCAGGTAACGATCTCATGATCTCACGGTTGGGGAGTTCCAGCACTGCGTGGGGCTCTGTGCAGCCTGGAGCCTGCTTGGGATTCTGTGTCTCCTCTCTCT